TAATAAATATGCATTTTATCCATATATGCTTTACAAATCAAAACAAAATACTTAATCACAGATAAAAGTTATGTCTTTATTTTCTAGATCAAAGAAATTCACATGTTCAATTATGTTTTTAAGAAACTTCACCCTTTCAAATGTACATTTCCAAATGCATCACCTTTGAAAAGAAGTGGGTTTGCAGTCTTTATTGCAGGTACTTTTTGAGGAGCACGGGGAAAACAAGCCACATCATGAAGCACACGTCGATGGAGGCAACTGCGTTCTGAGCGAGAAGTTTAATATTAAAAAGCAAAGAAGCTAAGGACCTGGCATTTGAGAAGGAACAACTTCCTGGCTAAAAGTTATTGCTGAACACATGACATTTTATTTGTAATTAGGAGAAAGAGATATTCTTGGGCTTTTTAGGAAACCTTGTCATGCTGACGTATGGCATTAGCCAGGCTGTGGTATATGGAGAATGTACTCTCAGTTCAATATCAAGAGTTTATCAGTTGATGTAACAAAATTGTCATGCATAATTAGGCTTTAAAAACCTCAACTACATGCTCCCTACCTCAGTCTTCTCAACAGTCCCAAAGGAGTGGAGTATGAAATGAACCCAGGCGCTGTCATGCTGCATGGGCTTAGATGTTGCTACAGCTGATTAAGCAGTTTGTGATCAGTGGGTGTCAACATAGTTTGTCATGCCAGAGAGATGGTCCCAAGTAACTCACAGCTCCAGAAGCCCCGAGTTTGCCTTCCTCTCCTTTTTTTTTTCAAGAAAGTCAACAACAGTTTTCAACACTACAGTATTGTAACTTCTTTCTTCTTTTTAGATTTCATTCTATATTCTTGGAGAACTTTGAAGAACTTCATATATAATAAGACTATTAGCAATGACCATGAAACCAAAATTCTCTCAGAGAAAATTGTCAAAGTTTTAAAGATCCATGGCAATAGTACAAATTGATGATAATAAGAAACATTGCCAAAAGATAAAGGTAAAATTGAAGTTTGGAAAGTTTTTGGACCCTATCTTATCCCTCAAAATATGAAGGAATTGGAAAAAACTCAATCAAAATTTCATTATTAATAATGAGGTATAGCTTATTCTTTAGAATTCAATTTTATACTAAGTTATTACATAAAGTACCACATAAGAGAATAACATTAAATATAAATTCATTCATTTAATCTTTATTTTTAATTTATTTAGTGCAGGCATGGGAATAAGAAGAGAAGAAATTTCACATTAGCTAATTTCCTCAAAACAAGTTTCAAACAACAAGCACATGGCAATGAACAGACCAGAAGAACAATAATGTTCTATTTTATGGTATCATTCCTTGTCATTCTTAGAATAGAAAAATTTCCAAACTAGAAGTTAATTGGAAGTGAGTGGCCTGTTTTAGAATTTAATCGCATTAAATATTTTCTTCCAGACTCAGATTTTTTTTGCTGCTCCAAATGTCCTCCATCCAAGGCCAATACTGCTTTCCGTTATTCCTGGCTATCCAGACCTTTCTTTTCCAATCAATTACTGTTTTACTCCCCTCCTTCCGTATCTGTGGCCTCGTCCCTCATCCTTCTCCATTTCCTGTTAGAGGATGCCACTGGAACACGTTGAAAGACTGACAGTTCATAAAAGTTTTATTGTTGTTGGTATTACATGGCTTTATCACTCTCTGTGTGTAAGAGGATGGTGTAACAGTCTTAGGTTTTTCTGTTGGAGTAAAAATATTTCCAAAAAAGTTGCTTTCCTTTCAATAGATTAATTGATCATAACCCTGTTTATAGAGATAAATTTTGCTCAAGAATTGAGCTATTGAACTGAAATGAACCAACTTATACAATCGACATGAATATTGAAGCCAACGGCTTTTTTCTAATAGTAAGATCTTTGGTCTTCGGGTGAAGGTTGCAATTTAAAAAATTCTTCAGAGTTGTATTTTATTTGGTATAGGGTTATAATTTTAGGATTCACTGTTTCTGACTTTCTAAAGCTTGTAGGTAAATTGATAATCATTTTTGATGGAAAAGTGCATTGAGGATCAACAGTGCCTTTTGATCAAAGACATTTGATAACATATCTTTCCCATTTATTTGTGCTTAATAATTGCGATGTGATCTCTTTGATATGCTTCTCTTTTGTTTTATTACCGTGTTATAGCATCAACTGCTATGCATTTGTTGTGAACTTTAACTCAAGTTTTGATCAGGCTATCTTGTTTTTTTTTGGAGATTAGTTATGTTTCCATTTCTTATACTCCACAGGAAGTTTAGCATTTTGAGGTGGGTTGTTTTTAAAACTTCAAACTATAATTATCAATGTTCATGACTCTGAGCTGCAATAAATAATGGTTTGGGGGATGCTTTTAAAACTGTCAGTATTAATCACAGCTCTAAATTCTGCAAAGAGGATCCTCCATTATCTTTTACAGACAACTATGTGCCTCATGACTGAGGCACTTTTTAAATCATATGTGACTAATTAAGTATAATTTTAGCTAAAAGATACATTTGCCAATATTTTTCTCCATAGATCTAAAAGGAGAGGAAAACATGTTCTCAGTTTCAACTTTTTGGTAGCTTTAACTCTACCTTCTGGCTTCTTTTTTGGCTAGAAGAAGGCATGTCTGGGTCCTCTTATTCTTTTTATCTTTTGCTTTCTCTTGTTGTCTGAGGTATTAATCCTATTTTTCTTTTCTTTTCTTGAAGAAAATGTGGAGTAGGAGCATGATCTGGGTTAAAAGTGAGCAGAAATTATTTTAACTTAATTTCAACATTGATTTTCTTTTTTAAATATACATCTATGCTATAATAGAAGCAATCATTTTGGGAAAGAGCCAAAGGATATCCTTTCAACTATATCACAATGTTAACAGCTCATTTAATTTATTATTTCTCCCTTATTCCTCATAGAAACAATTGCATCTCTTACTCATATAAAACTAAAAAAAACCCTAATATTTTATATTTAGGTATTTTCTAGTGCATATTTTTTAAAACATCATGGAATGAAGCATAACATTTTTGAAAAATAAACCTTTTCTGGGGCAAGTGTTTAGATTGTATGAACACAAATACCAGATTATACAAACACTAGAGACTCACTGGGGGCACCTTTGTACAGACAGTGCCTGACTTACAAAGTTTCGACTTACCATTTTTCGACTTTACGCTGGAGTGAAAGCAAGAAGCATTCAGTAGAAATCATACTTTGAATTTTGAATATTGGTCTTTTCCCTGGCTGGCGATGTGTGGTAGGATACTTGTTTGTGATGCTGGGCAGCCCCAGCGAGTGCAGCTCCCAGCCAGCCCCTGATCATGAGAGTAAACAACCCAAACACATACAACCATTTTGTACCCAGGCGGCCATTCTGTTTGTAATTTTCAGTACAGTAGTCAATCAATTACATGAGAAAGTCAACACTTCATTATAAAATAGACTTTGTGTTAGATTATTTTGCCCAACTGCAGGCTAACGTAAGTGTTCTGAGCAGGTTTAAGGTGGGCTAAGCTATGATGTATTAAATGCATTTTCAACTTACGGTATGTTCAACTTACAATGGGTTTATTGGGCTGTCACCCATTGTAGTTGGGGAAAATCTGTAAATAAGTTATTTATTATTCTATTTTAATGAGTGCTAATATATTACTTATCCCTTTAATAATTATAGAAAATTGAAATAAAATATGATCTTACTATGTAGTACACTAAGAAAATCAAAACAAAAACATAGAAATTGTAAATTTGGCTAGAGTGTTAGAAAAGGAGTATAAAGGCCTACAAAATTGAAAACTGTAAGTGTTTTTAAACTATATATGATGAATAAAAATTACATTGTCTACTAGAAAAAAGAATATCTGTAAGTTTTGCACTTCTGTAATTTAGTTAAGATAAAGGAGCTCATAATGGCATGTGTACATTTGCTTGAATACTTATGGTAGAAGGTGACATTGACGAATGTATCCATGGACGAGTAATCTTGAAATGTAACATCTCATGACCTGCAGGTGTTTCTACACTGCCTTTCTCCTGCTCAGGCGATGTAATTGCTATTTGCAGTTTTCCTGTGAATTATACATCTTTGCTAAAATTGAATCTTGCTCCTTTCACATACCCTGCCATGTGCCAGCATGATCTCCTAGAGTAGCCATGGGTAGCTGTCTTCATCTTGAAATTGTGGTTCAGGACATCTAGATAATATTCCTTTCCTCAATTCACTTCCCCATCCTTCTGTTGCCCTGTTTCAAATTTATTTAAAGTTATTTCATTTTCTGACAGTTGACTCACTTAGTCACATGCCAGTTGAAGTGGAATGGAGTCCTGATTGCCTCGAAAGGTTATATAAATATGTCTTAGCAAGTCATATTTTTGTGATCGAATTTCATTTTTTGATTTTAGGGATATTTAGCCTAATTAATTTGCATGGGAATTCACAAAATAGTAAAACAATTGGAAGTTTCTTGCTCTGCAGTCCTTTAATTAGACCCAAATTAGAACCGATTTGGAAAACACCAATAGTTTCTGTAGCTCATGTAATGCCAGTCTGGTCAACCTCAGGTGTTGGATATAATTTCATCTTATTAAAGATGAATTAAAGTCCTTGTATATATGACTTATACAACTTTTAAAAACATGGTTAAGCTTAGCCTTTATTATTAAGTACAATATTACTTTTTCTTCCAACTATAATTTTATGCCATACTGAGAAACTATCTGGAGTCCATCTTTTCTGAATAGTGTTTAAATGTTAATGTTTATTTCTGCAGATATCTTTCTTGAACTGCATTTCCACAAGTGCTCATTTTAAAGCTATCTCAGAGACAGTATCACTTTGTTAATAAGCTCAAAATAAATCTGCTTGTTATATTCAATTTTGTAAAGTTTGGCAATAACAAATTGATAGGGAATATAAAATTACATGGAAAAACTTGACTTTTAAAAAACATATGTAATTATGTTTATTCATGTTGAATAATTGATAATTTCCAGAAAATTTACACATTTTGAGTTATACATTTTATATAAGTTCATTTATTCTCAACCTCCAGCCTTATTATTTTTTGTCATATATTATGTAAAATAATTCTGTAAAATGAACGCAAAATTTATTTTGGGAATCTGATGTTCAGCTCCACTGATTATGGACTCCTGGCTCCTGGATGTTGACCTTGAAAACTGTAGGCACAAGTCAAAGTTTGATGGAAAGCTAGCTTTGTGGAATAAAACAGGAGTAAACTAAAGAACTCTGCATGCTTGATCATAAAGCTGAATCCATTAGGCTTAGCTGCAGACTGGAAGGGAAAAACCCGGCATTTGTGTGTTGGGGAGGGAGGAAGTCATGGAGGTTTTTAGACATTAGAATATTAACTGTGAAGGATTCTTTCCACACACACTTATCCGTTTCAGGCATATTTGTGTGCTTATTATCTGCTAGACTCTTGGGAGGTATTGGTGAATAAGCAAGGTACAGAACTTGCCCTCCAGAGCTTGTAGCCTACTGGAGGAGTCAGACAAACAGGTAACAAATGCATACATTCAATGATGGGAAATTGAAGTGACTGCCAAGAAAAGAGGACAGAGGAGGAGAACATCCGAGGGACTCACCTGAGGAAAATCCTCCCCAAAGAGATGGATTTAGTTTCATGAAGCATGAGAATTAAACATGCAAAGAAGGAGAGTGAGAGAGAGTTGTCCTGACTGAGGGACAAGAGCTGATGGTACAGAGCTTGTGGCAGAAGAAAACTGGCAGGTGGACCGGGTGGACCATGTGGCTGGAGCACAGCAAGGGAGGAGGACAAAGATGAGGTTAAAGAGGGATGCCAGGAGACTAGACGGTGCACATCTCAATCCTAAAAAAAAAAGAAAGATGGAAAGATGCTCTTTAGAAACACAGGTAATTATGTATTCAGCACTTTTTCTGAATCTGAAAATATTTTTGTCTCACTAGTTTATGTGCCGTGATAAAATAAGAGGAGACTATTCAAATCCCTTCAAAAGTCAAGCTTTTACACTAAGACAGGTAAATGAAGAAAATGACCCTTTTCCCAAAATCTACACCCTACAAGTTAAGTGTACTTACCTGTCAGGGTCTATTTAAAGAATAATTTTCCAACAAAAGATTGCTTTACTGTAAGAAGCATCAGTGCAAGAAATTTCCTTTAATATTTCTTTGTCACTTTCTTTGAAAGTCTTTCTTAAGTTTAAAAAAAAAACAACAACAACAAACTCCCCGACCCTGAAAGCAGCAGCCATGTAAAGTGAATACATGTGAACACATGTGTATGGCACGCTCACGCACTTTCCTTGCAGATCTCCGGGAACAAGCCGAGACAACATGGGAAATGCATTAAAATGCTCGTCACCTAGTGGATTCCGGGCAAAGAGCAGTCTTTAAGACCCAGCAGCGCAGTATTTGTCTGGAGAGGAAATGTTGCTTTTTGACAGATGAGAGAAATCCCCTTAGTGCTGGCTGTGCAAGAGAGAAGTGAAGTCAGTCACCTGGTGGTGAAGGCCAGTAAAACAGCAAAGCAGGAGAAAAATTTTTCTCTCCCTCTCTGCTTTCTCTCTCTCTGCCTCTTTTCTCTCCTCTGGAGGAGCCACCTCCTATTCTCTCAACTCTTTTAGCATAACCTTCAAAGGAAAACGTTCCCTTCAGACTTTATTATCTTCTTTTCCCCACTGAGAGAATACGTTGGAGCTGCAAGACATTTTTTAAGTCTATGCAGGACTTCGGGGATGTGGTTATCTTGCCAGGGAAATTGATCATTGCTAATGCTTGGGACTCAGTGTGCTAAATTAGCCATCAGAGTAAGCCTGACGAGGAAGGCTTTCATCATATACTCTTCTCTTCAGTTTGAACACATTTGCTTGAAATTTGCCGCATGATGCTGTCCAGGGAAGCAGTTTTTTTTCTTGGGATGCAGCAATTCGCTGGTTTCTAAAGCTTATTGCTGAAGAAGAAATAATCTTAGAGTGGATTTTCCCCCCGGGCTTGATTCGACTGAGCTGCGTTGGACCGCGGTAAAGATCACCTGTCACGAAATCTTTGAGGAAGTGAAAACAAAGTGAATTCTAATTATTATTTATTTATTTTGATTATTTTTAACCGGTGGAGGCGGCGTGATCACGGAGAATGAGACTGAGCGAAGCTGCCAGGGCTTGGAGGAGGAGAAAGCTGAGTTTAGGCTGGAAACTAAAAGACTAGATTGTTTTTTGGTCCAACTTGTCCGGTTCCTCTCCGCTTCCTTTAGTTTCGCTCCATGGACAGATCAACAAACCTGGACATTGAGGAGCTCAAGGTACGTGATCCTCCGGGCGGGCATCGTGCCTCCTTTTCTCGCGCTCGCCTGCTCTCTTGCTCTCCTCTCTCTCGTTTTCGCTGCCTCTTCCTTGCGCTGCTAGAATAGTTGGTGGCCCCGCGGGACGGCGGCTGGGCATCGGGGTGAAGCGTGCCTGGGAGCAGGCGCCCCTCCTAGGGCCGAGGACATGGAGCTCGGCTCGCCCTCCGGGGCCAGGCTGCCTCCCTGGCTGCTCCTCCTGACAACGGTCACCCTGTCCTCCTCCTAGTCAGTTACAGCAGCACTTGGGGGACCAGAGCCGGCGCCGAGAGCCCGTTCACCTCGCCCGGGGAAGCGGCGGCCACAGCAGTCTCTGCCCGCTGTCGCCTGGTCGCCCGGCAAAGTTGCCCGAGCTGCGCGGCCACTTTGCCTCCTCTCCCCGCTCCGAGCCGCTTCTCCCCCCGCCCGACGCGGGGACAGCCGATTTCCGCTCGGCGTCGGCGGTGACGGCTCATTTTTATGCCAGCACCTAAGGAGACCCTTTTCTCCCACCACCGCGGACACGGTTTCACCCCCTCGGTTGCACCGCCCGGGGCGCGAACTCGTGTTCAGCCGGGGGAAGGGACAGATGAGGTTTCCCCGCGGGCCTGGCGACACCAGCGCTGTGAACGTGCCTGCCCCGAGCATCCCTGCGCGGGAGCGGGTCTGGGGAAGAGGGGAGGGGCGCAGGGAGGCGCGAGTCGGTCGGGGCTGCGGGGAGGGGTGGGGGGCGGCACTTGGGGAGGCTCCGGGCGTCCTTCCCCCGCCGTCGGAGCAGCCGCCGTCCCGGATCCGCGCGTATCCCCCGCCGCTCCGCCGGGAACCCTCGCCGCGCCCTCTCCCTCCCCGGTCCCCGCGAGGCAGCGAGGGGCTGGCTGGCAAAAGCATCCAGGCTGACAGTTTGCCCCTCTGCCTGTGGGCACAGCTGCCTGCAGTGCTCGTTTAAAAAAATAAAACAAAAAACTTAAAACACCAACAAACCACAGAATAATTTAAATGTCCCGCTCACTGTAATGAAAAAGCAGGAAAGGGGGCGATACTTGGGCGCATTCTTTTTGTTTATTCTCCACTCTTCTTTACCCCAGGCGTTTTCTACACTCTACTATATTGCTTCAGAGGGTTATTATTATTATTTTTTTTACTAGAAATTCAATTCAGACGGACTCTTGGTTCAGGTGAGGACTTTTAGTCCCCCCTACCCATGGGGGAAACGACGAGTAGAGGTTTTCTCAGAATGTCAGAGAAGTGGATTTGCCCAGTAAGCTGAGAGGATCCGAGAAATCCCCTGTAGAGGGCAAGAGCCTCTGTCTGCAGCCTGCTCTCTGCTCTGGCCACCGAGCATGCCCAGCTCAGGAGCCCAGTTCTGGAATGTGGACCCCAGATCTCCTGGCACTCTAAATTGCATAGAAGGAGAAAGAGAGAAGGATAGAGAACAGTGACCCGTTGTGGAATCAGCCCCGCCAACCACTGTACATAAAGGTGGGGTGAGGGAGGATGAGCAGAAGACACCACTTCATTTAGGACACTGGATTTGTTGGAAAAAGTAAAGTAGGGGGGAGGCGTATTTACTGCTCCAGTTAAAGTTGGTGAACAACAAGTTTCTGTGTTATGGCCAAGGTCACAGTCAATAGACCTTGGCCTGGAATGGAGGTCTCCTATGATCTCTGTACTGTACTAAGATAGGACACATTCCCTTTGTGTTTGAAAGTATCTCTTGCTGCCTTTTCCCAAGCATCCCAGTCTCTTGGGAGAGGGGTAGGTTTTATCTGAGATGCAAATGAGAGCACGTGAACAACGTTTGTGATGTATATTTCATGCAGGGGCGCAGTATCCAGATTATTTTTTTTGTTGTTAAATATACGATATGACACATAAGGAAAACTTTTTCTTATGAGGAGTGGAAGGGAAAAATGTTTTGGGGTCACCATTTCCCCTGATATTCCATTAGTTTCCTGCTAGCTTAACCCCTTCTGAACTCTGGCACCACCAAATTGTGGTTAAAATCGGCAAAAGAGCAAGCCTACTGTGGAAACATCTGTCTAGTTTAGTAGAAGATCTCAGCTTAACCTCAAAACTATTACACGTTACCTCAGAGATTCTCACAGCCAGAGCAAGGGTGGAAACTGGCAGGGCTTGAGCATGAGGAGTGTATTGGCAATGACTGAGGAGGAAGAAATGCAGGCATGTTAGAGGCAAAGTTCTGTTGAGATTGTTAAAAAATTGTGTCAGGGGCAAGCTACTCTTGAGATTCAAACCTGGCAAGAGAGGAAATGTAGTCAAGACTTAAAAGAAAATGTTTGAGATCCTCCAGTTTGGGAAATAAATTTGTATTGTCAGGTTTGACTTTATTTCTGTAACACAGAGGCTTTGAAACGCTTACACTCTGGAATATATATACTTTGTGGAGATGGGTATACTAAATGTGGAATAACTTGTCTGGATTTCCTCTTATCTGCAGAACCCATTGGCTTGGGTTTTCTAGACAATTCCAGTTAAAGTTATTTTCTGGTGGCTTCTTGCTGAAGAGATCCCCATGGTGGCCAGTGGAAAGAGGGGAGAAAAAAGCTGAGGACGCTTATTTTTGACATTATTTGCTTGACTTTTCTTCCTATGAATCAGAGATGCTTACATTAAGGCACAGCCATATAAAACTTTACTTTCTATGGTGCTTTATATGCATGAAAAGGAAAACAACTGCTCACTGGAATATGATAAATAAATAAAAGTGCATAATATTCTAAGAGTAACATTTAGCTTAATTTTAGATCATTACTGTCATTTTTAGATGAAGCTGCTTCCCTCAGGTTTTAGGAAAGAAAGATTCTGCTAATTCTTTATCTTTCTTTGTGATAAACTATTTTTTCTGTGTGACATTTTAACAAAGTATATTTTTTGCTATGCTGGATGTGTGGTCATTGATTTTTGTATATATTATTCAGTAAATAGTGTTGTCTTTTGCAAGTTTTTAAACCAAAGATAAGCTTCAATAATTAAGCATTAAGCCATTGCTATTATTATCACAAAACTAAACATAGTATACATATTAAAAGATTTACTGGTGGGAAACTAAAATATAGTCATGTGTATAAAACTTGCTAATGAAGGCAAACGTGTTTCATCTTCTCTTCTGTCACAAGCTGCTGATGAAACAGATCAGTGTTGAAAAGAGAGTTCTCATTCAAAGAACTTTAGTCTGTTCTTTTCCTTTTCATCTCTATCTGTTTCTTTCTCCAATAAATGTACAAACTTTACTCTGGATTTTGACCTGGTGTTTCTTTTAAAGAAAAAAAAAACATCCAACAAGCCAAAATTCCAAAGGGTTACCACTTTGGAAATGTGGGTGTTAATGAATATTGATACTACAGAAAACACCCTCTATGCTGGCGTATGTCTGAGTTATAGAGCACTTTTAGAAGTTGATATTTAAAATAATAACTTTAGCTTTTGTATTAGCTCTGCCGTTGCTATCTTTTAAACAACATTATCTTATGCACTTGAATGGGAAATGCCACTAACTTTTATAGGTGACACTTGTAAATTTGCTTTTTGTAGGATTTATAAGAGATACGAGGCTGGATAAATGGTTATATTTAACTAATACATATGATTTTGGTGATTCTTTGTCCTCAGCATTTGAAATATGAGTTTCAATTCACTTATATAAATTTGACAATCAAGAAATTATGCTTTCAGATGCTAAGCAGGTATTTGTGGGTAATTGTAATTTGCTTTGAGATCAAAAGCATAAAACACATCAAGAGTATAGTACAATTTATTGCAGTCTTATTCGATCCCAGCTTTTGTTTATTTATTTGTCAAGACTGTTCCTTTAATGGGATGACTGGCTAGAAGCTAAAATGGAATTTTTCCATTACTTGCAGAACATAAACAGTGTGATTCTGGAATCTTGTCTTCATTATCATTTTGTAAGGGGCAAAAATGATAAACTACATGGTTAATTCTGAGATGCATGAAACAACTTTTCAATAGTGTAGTTGTGCTTGTTTGAGTTAATTAAATATAGTCCAGTCACTGTTGCTTAATTTTATCTCTTTAATTTAAATAAAATTTCATCTAGCAAGAACTTGAAACTTGCCCTAGATAGGGCAATTGAATAATACAATTAGGTCATCAAGAAAGTATTGCATGGTTGAGAAATGATAATCTAGGAAAAGTATGCATAGGTGTTTAAACAAGTGGTTGATTCAAAAATGCAAGTTTCATAGTACATTTGTGTACAATTTTAATCAAATAAGAGAGTTGGCAGTTAGAAGAATTCTAAAAATGTTTTTTGTTTCATCAATAAGACACTCAGCCCAGAAAAGCCAGGCTGCTGCGGTGTAGGAGGCTTTGGCATGAGTCTAAGTAGGTGGTATTTTTTTGTTAGTCATACCATAGTGAAAAATAGTGCTCTCTAACAAATGCCATATTTTTAGCAACCTGCCTTATATATTCATTTCTTGGCTTAGAATAAGGAAACATGTTTGTGAATACTTAATTATTTGACCTCTTTCACATCCAAAGGAATTATAACTTCTGTCCACCCAGGTCTAGCTCCAATTCTCTTTTGGTAACAGAAAGCGGTCATCAAGATTTAGAAACAGTTAACCTTGATTCTTTATATCCAGAATATGGACTTGTTTCATTGAAGGTGAAATAAACTTCAGGCAACAGTGATGAAACATTCTTGTTTTATACAGTTAGGAAGGACTAGGGGACATTTTTGATATGAATGGAAAGAGAATTAAGAAAAATACATTTGAGTGAAATTGTGCAAATGACTATTTTAGACATTTTCAGTGGCCTGCTGTCATCACTAAGCATGTATCCCCATCTCCATACTTGCCATTACAGCTTTGCTGATCTCCAGACTTTACCAATTGAAAATACATCAACTTTTGAAGGCCCAGTAAAGAAAAGTGTTTTAAGATTTATGGACTCAAAATCATAGCTACACAAGATGGCTTAATGCTATAAGACAA